ACACGTCACACATGCCAACCAGGGCTGAGACATGTACCCTCCCAGAGTGGAGCCAGCTGCATCTAGGAAGCTGGGTTGGATGGCTCCCAGCATGTCTCTGTGGCTGCACTGAGCTGAGGGAAGGTCGGTCGCAGGGGCAGCTGTTGTGGGGAGAGGCAAGAATGTGAGACTCGACGTGAGCCCCAATGGCCACCCCTCCCCGGATCCCAGGAAGTCCCATGGAGGTCAGTTGCCTTCCAGGCCGGGGCACTGCCTTGTCACCACTTTATCTAAGATGAGTATGTTTCCCCAACCAAGGACCCTAAGTCATGTCATTGAGCCTAAGGGACACAGTGTGGGGGCTGGGAAGGTGTCACATGACAGAGCATAAGATGTGAGGGTGGCTCTGGGGATGGGCAGAGGGGTCCTACAGGAGGTCCAAAAACTGGGACCAGACAGATGGGCGGGGTCATCCCCAGCCTGGAGCTCTGAGTCTGTTTCCACATCTGTGGTGCACGGATGACAATGAAAATGCAGCCATGGATTCAATGAGGCCAGGGGTAAAGCGTCCATAGACTTCACCAAAGGCAGCAAGCGGGACCGCATTATGGTGACTTGATGTAGAAGAGACAAGGAGGGTGTCATGGCAGAGAGGGAGGGGATGGTGACCCCAGGAGCAAATAAAGACAGCATAGAGAATACCTAGAAATTGGGATATGGGCAGGGATGAGGAAGCCAACCGTGGAGAGGGGATGAGGGTGGGCCCAAGGGATGGGGGAACCAGGGCGCCCCGGAGAGCTCTGGGCAGGCAGAGGAACACCCCTGGCTCAGCAAGTGTGAGGGGAACCCAGGAGGATGGAGCAGGTACTAAGGACCATGCAAACAAACTCTTCCACTCACTGAATAAGAAATGGGTAATTAAACAAACCTACATCTAGTAAAGGAATTGAAATTGTAGCTAAAAACCCTCTCAAAAAAAGCTCCAGGTGCAGACACCTTCACTGGTGAATTCTACCTAACATTTAAGGCAGAAATTATACCAATTCTACACAAACTCTTCTGTACAAATTGAAGACGTGGGAATGCTCCCAAGTCACTGTAGGACCTCAGCTAACCTCTCCTCTGATACCTACACCTGAGAAGGACACGCCGAGCAAAGAAAACTACTGCCCAACATTCCTCACAAGCAGGTGCAAAATTCTTAACAAAATCTCAGCAAATCAAAGCCAGCAATATAGAAAAGGAATAATACCTCATGACCAGTGAGGGTCATCCCAGGAATGCAAGGTTGGCTTAACCTCTGAACATTGATCAACGAAATTTATCACATTTACAGACTAAAAAAAGGAAAACTATATGATCATCCCCAAAAGACACAGAAAAGTGTTTGAGAAAATCCAATACATTCTTGATAAAAACTCAGCAAACTAGGAGTAGAAGAGAACTGCCTGGGCTGACAAAGGTATCCTTGAAAATCCAACAGCCAACATCACACTTTATGGTACGTACTGAGTGCTTTCCCTCCAAGATCAGGAACAAGGCAAAAAGATCCTGTGTCAATGCTTCTATTTAGTACTGTACTGGAGGTCTTCACCAGTGCAAAAATGCAAGAAAAAGAAGTAAAGGACATCCAATTAGAAAGGAGTACAACTGGCTTTACTCACAGATGACATGCTCATCTATGTAGAAAAACCTTAAAAAACAAAAGAAAACAAAAAAACTACCATAACTAATAAAGTGAGTTTAGCAAGACTGCAGGAGACAAGATCAACATACAAAAATTAACTGTATTTCTATGTATTAGCAATGAACATTGGGAATTTAAATTACACAACTACCATTTATAATTGCATCAAAAATATAAAATACTTAGGTATAAATATGAAAAACGATGTGTGAGACCTCTACAGTAAAAACTATAAAACTTTTCTGAGAGTAATTAAATACCTAAATAAATGAACTAGATATACTGTGTTCATGAATTGGGAAACTCAATATTATTAAGGTGTTAATTCTTCCCAAATTGATCTATAGATTCAACAAAGTGCCAATAAAATTCTTAGCAGCCTTTTTAAAAAATAAATAAACTGAGGGATTCGTTCTAAAATTCATACGTAATACACAGGACCCAGAATAGCCAAAACAGCTTTGAAAATCTCCAACAAAGCTGGAGACTTGCACTACCTGGAGTTACGGCTCATTATAAAACGATCCCAGTCAAGGCAATGTGATATTGGTGTCAATACAGACAAAAAGATCAACGGAACAGACTACAGAGTCCAGACATAAATCCACACGTACATGGCTGACTGATGTTTGACAAAGGTGCACAGGCAATCCATGGAGAAAGGATGGTTAAACGCAGCTGGAGTCATTGGTTTTCCTTATGCGAAACTAAATACAACTTAGATCCAAACCTCACACCATAAAAAAAATTAACTCAAAACCAATCACAGACCTCAATGTAAAACCTAAAGGTATAAAACCTCTAGTCTAGAAGAAAACAGAGGGGGAGAAAATCCTTGTGAGTTTGGGTTACAAAAATGATTCTCAGATACGATACCAAAGCCACAATCCACAAAAGAAAAAAGTTGATAAACTGGGCTTTGTCAAAGTTAAGAACTTCTGCTCTTCAAAAGATACTCTTAGAATGAGAAGACAAGCCCCAGACTGAGAAAAGATTTGTAAAGTAAATATCTGATAAAGGACTTGTATCCAGAATAAATAAAAAAACTCTCAAAAAGGAAACAAACAACCCAGTAGAAAGAAACAGCAAGGGCCTGCCGAGTGGCGCGATGGTTAAGAACTGGCTTGGGACGCCAGAGGGCCCCGGTTCGGATCCCACATATGAGGGCCAGTGACACTGCCCTCCACAGCTAAGATGCTGAATGACAGCTCGACCTGGAGCTGGGATGCTGTGGGTCGACGGCGACGGCGACGGCGACACCGTAGGCTGCAGCCCCTGTGGCAGTGGGTTGCCGTGGGTTGCCATGGGCTACCGTGTGTAGCCAGCAGCCAGCGTGAGCGGCCAGCAGCCGCAGTGAGCAGCCGTCCAGAAGCCGGCGACTGATCTGCCTCGCCCGGGAAGAGCGCAATGATGGTGCCAACTTGGGCCAGTGAAGCAACGTCCTCCACAACTAGACTGAAGAACAAAAACGACAGCAACTTGTCTGTTCCCCTTCCCCCAATTCCCCAGTGCTGTTTCCATACCCGCAATTCCCCAATAAAAATCTTAAAAAAAAAAACACAAAAAAACCCAGCAAAATGTTGGAACAGATGCTCCACCAAAGCACAGGCCGATGGCACCCGAGCACTGGGAGACGCAGATTCAGACCCTGGACAAGACACTGCTCACACCATTAGAACAGAGACCGTGAGAAGGACCCACCACACCGAGTGCTGGCGAAATGCTCAGGAACTGGGGCCCTGAGACGCTGCAGTGCATCGCATGCTGATTCATTTCAGTAAAGCTGCTTAAAACATGACTAAGAGCACCAGACATGTTGCCACTGCGCTGACACGCTGCTGCTGACACAGTGCCTTCCTCTCAGCAAAGTGCCACCCACCCCTGCCCTACAGAGCTCTCTGGGATTTCCCACCCTCGGCCTCCCTTCTGCTCTCCCCGTGCCCTCTGCTCCTGCTGGCACCTGGGCCCTTGCTGGCCTGCCACCTCGGGCACCTCTCCTCCAGCCCCTTCCCTCCATCCAGGTCTCAGCGATGTCACCGCTTGGGGGTGGCCTCCCTCAATTGCTCTCACTGAAGGAGCTGCCCCACACCCACCTGGCACTCTCCACCTTATGACACTATCTTCTTTCTGGTACTAGGTGAAGGACGGGCGGGAGTGTGGGGGAAGGGGTGATGGCACCGTGGTACAGCTGATGATGGTGAAGGCGGACAGCAGCCGAGTGTGTGTGTGTGTGGGGAGATGTCTGGGGTGCAGTGAAGCGAAGGGAGAAGCTGAGTCAGGAACGAGGGCCCTTTAAGGCTGGGGCTGGGGGGGGTCACCAGGGCGCAAGGCTGACGGAGGCGGGGTCAGGACGGAGGCGGGGCCAGGCAGGGTGCCTGGCTCAGCGGTCACCCTGCAGTCACACTGCCCCTCGGCCAGGCCGTCTCCCCCAGAGCACAGCCGGGCTGGGCGTGTTCTCTCCAGCTCAATGCCCGGCTGTGAGTTAGTGAGAAAGACTTCAGACACTGTGAGGCCTATCTGAGGGGTGCGGGGGGCAGCACCCCGAGTGCCTACTATGTGGGGTGCCCATTCCGCCTTATGGGGTTATCACTGCCCCTTGTGGGGTTCCGGTGACAGGGCATCAGTTACTGTGTTAACCGCAGGGTGCATGGCCAGTGCCAGCAAGGGGCTCGGGCAAGAACCCAGCCCTGCCCTCACGGCCCAGCCTGGCTCCTGTCTTGTCCCATCTGGCCCTGTGTCATCTGCACAGCTCTGTCACTTATAAACGATTGACTTGATGACAGTCATCAAGCCTAATCTGTTTTTCAAGAGTCTAATTAATTCTAGTTCTTCCTCTATTTTTAAACTGCTCAATCATTCTTGTTTTCCTTCCAGGGGCACGATGTGCTGGGAGGCCTTGGAGCTCCTTGCAGGTGGTGGGAATGCCTGCCATGGGGCTGGGTGGCTGCAGCAGCCAGACCCGTGCCCGTGCCCGGCCCCAGAACAGCTGTGGAGGGAACAGGAGCGATGTGCGCATCCCGATGGGAAGGGAATGAGGCACCTCGTGGGGCAGGACCTGCGGACCGGGGTCACACAGCTGCCAGAGAGAGGTCAGGGTTAGACCAAGCGCCCCCCCCCGTCACCCCATCCTAGAGTGCCCAGGAGAGCCCAGCGATGGGGTGGGGGTGGGGGGTCCAGGCACTCACTCCCCTTACTTTTCAACTCAGGACTGGCCCCCTGGGGCATCGTCCCCAGCATCCGGCACCGGAAACTGTGGTTATTGACCGTATGCTGGAAAAGGAAGCATGTCCTTCCAGGCCGTGGAGGCCAGAGGGCAGCAGTGGCCATTCGGCACCGACCAGGCCCCGCCCAGGGCAGGCGCTGCCCCAGGGCATCGAGCAGCCGGCCCCTGCGGTCTGCAGGAGGGAAAGTCAGCTCAGTCACGTGTGAACAAAGCAAGTCAGAAGTGCCAGTCACACGCCTCTGGGGGGTTTCCCGGTGATGGAGGACTCACTGCCCACCACAAGCTGCTGGAGAAGATCAGCCTGTGCCGGCGGCATCTGGCCCGTCCCTGGGCTGGGCACCAAGGCTGCCCGTGGCCTGGTCTGGAGGGGCACCAGAAGGATCTCAAACTGTTCCCTCCATAGAGGGAAGAAGGTCGATGGGGCCCAGGGGGAGGCGGCGCCATGCTCCAGAAACAGGGTGCTGCCTCTCTGCAGCCGCAGCTGCTTGGAGCTGGACCCAGGGCCCCCAGCAAAGGGCGGAGGAGTCTGGTGCAGAGGAAGGTGGGGCGTCCGCTAGGGGAGCCAGGCAGGCAAGAAGCAAGTTCAACGAAAAGCTGAAGTGAGAGACATGGGGCGCTCCAGGGTCTGCCAGCATCGGACAAAATTCCACAGGAATGCTTTAGATCACCCTGTCTAGCGGTCACACCACCAGTGGGGAGTGGAGAACAGTGGGAATTGGGGAAGGAAGCAGTGAAATCCGGTGATGTGACAGGGAGGTAAAGTCGAGACTGAAAACAGCAAGATGGCAAGGGACACAGCGAGTAACAGTGATGAGTAATGGCTGTGACTAACAATCCTGAGTAACGGTGGTAACAATCCTGAGTAACGGTGGTGAGTAATGACCGGGAGTAACAATCCTGAGTAACAGCGGTAATGATGGCGAGTAATAGTGGCTGAGTAAGAGGTGGAATGAGATAAGGAAGGACATACATAGCCTCTCGACTCCTCCTCTAGATGCTGTATGAGCTGGGGACTGTTAGCCCATTTTGCAGAAGACAAAACTGAGGTTCAGGGAGGTTGATAACTGGCCCCAGGTTGATCAGCCAGTCCATGGATGCCCTTCGTCCCCTGGTCCCTCCTGTCACATTCACACACGCAGAAGAACACCCCCTCCAATGCCACTCCCCCAACAGGGAAGGAAGTGTCATGTGCCAGCAACTCCCCTCAAGATGTCCCCCAACATCAACTCTCTGCCACCACCACACTCTGGAAGGAAGGAACGCATGATCAGAGCATATGTCTCCTGGTTATGGCTGAAGCTCAGGATCCCGTGTCAAGGACCGCCCTCACAGATTCCCACCTTTCTGTCCAAAATGGCAGCCAGGGGGCCCACCGAGCGCATGACAGGAGGCAAAGGCACTGCCAGCCAACTCTCAAATGCAGCCTCAGAACTGAATAACACAGAGCAGGGTGGGCTCTCTGGGGCGGAACAAGCCATGACGTTTCTGAGTCACCACCCACCCCAAGCCAGAGCCGGTAACCTGTCAGCGTGTCAGGATGGCTGCCAGTCCCCTGCAGCCTTGCTTTCTCTGATAGCTGGAGATGGTCTCAGAAGGCAAGAAGGCCCGGCCCTCCAAAAATGGGTGCCTCTCAGATCACGGGTCAGAGAGCTCAGTCAGTGGTAAAAAGGAAAGCATGGACGCGAGCAGGAGTGGAGGGCAGTATTTCCTGCCTGGACCTGAGGAGGAACGGTGCCACACAGTCAGCCCGCACAGTCAACCCACACAGTCAGCCGGTGGAGACGGAAGGGCAGGGGTCAGGAGCTGTCCCTGGGACTTTTGAATATTTAATCCCTCAAAGGAAAATCACACCTCTGTCAATCAAATGTCTGTCAATCAGAAGACATCGATAAATAAAATCAAAGGCACATACTAGACAGGAAAAGTGACTGCAGCAAACACAGTGAGCAGAAGGGACATTTTCAAGTCAGTAAGAAAAACATGACTTGAAAACATGATGGGGAAACAGGTGAAGGAATGAACGGTCCTGTCACAGAAGAAGAAGGCAGCACGAAGCAGGAAGAAGTGCTCAGGGCACCCACAACCGGAGAAGCGCAAACTACCGCAACAAAGGAGCCGTGTTTGCTCTCCAGGTGGGAAAGCAGCCCCCGCAGTCACAGCCAGGGTGACAGGACACTAGGAAAGCAATCGGACAGGAAGTGGCAGAGCTCAAGGCTCCACGGCGTTGCTGCTGCAGTCTCTCCACTCCTAAGGATCGATTCTAAAGAAATGACCCATGAGGGAGAGTGACCACAAGGCTAATCTTACGTGGAAAGAAACATGGAAACGGGAAAGCGTAGGATAAACGAGCATATGTCCTTATGACAGAGTAAAATTCTATGAAAAGCATGTCTTCAAAGAGCTTTGCAGAGAAACGTAAAATATTTATTAGAAAAAACAATAAAACTCATAGGTTTTGGAGTGGCTTTTATTTCCTTCCTTTATTCTTAAGTTTCTATAACAAACGGGGACCACATTTATAATTAGAAATGAGAGAGTCCGGGTGATTTTTTCGAGAAGGCAGAAAGGTGGGAACACACTTCGGTAGGAATCAAATGTCCAGGGAAAGGGCGGAGGTGCACCAGACGGGTGAGTTTCCGTTTTCTAGACAGTGACTTACAATTCAGCTGCTTCAAGAGTATGGAAGGTTCTGGATGAAGAGGTGAGTCTAGACAGGCAACAAGAAGCTTTTAAAATGCGCTAACTTTCCTCAAAAACCCTACCCTGTGAGCACCGACGAGGGAAGAAAGCAGGCAGTAAAACGGGAAGAGCTGAAGGACACACATTCCGGACCTCTCTCCCAGGACTGTGCCGAGGACGACGTCCCACCTGGGCAATAGCACTGGGGGAGCGGGTAGCAGGGAGGGCTGGGGAAGAGACACAGAGGGGCTTCTCCTGGCAGGGACCCTCGCTCCGGAGCCCCCTCCCTCCAGCCCAGCAGGACCCCCACAGCCCTGCCCTTCCATTTGGAGGCTCTGCTCTGCCTGACCAGGAAAGCAGGCTCCAGGTGTCCCTGGGGCAGGCAGACCCTTTGTCACAGCTCCATGCTTCTCCTTCGTGGCACACAGAGGTCTGAGGCTGGTCCAGTCTGACTCACACCAGGCACAGGATCTCTGAGCACTGGGCCGTTCCCTCCTCCAGGCTGCATATCACAGGGGCCGCTGAAGCACCTGCTGGGCAGGCGGGCCTCACGGTCAAATCAGGACGGCAGCTCATCATGGGCCGAGTGACACTGAGTGCAGCATCATGGGCCTGAATGGGCTTGAGCTGCAGGCACTTTGAGCTAAGGCAGGTATGACCCTCTCTGGGTCTCAGTCTCTCCATCTGCCTGGCTGGGGGGGTCACCACCTGCCCTGCACATGAAACTGGCTGCTTTCCCGGTGAAGCCTCGCACACACGTTACCTAACAACACCAACCAAACTACAGGAATCTTGCCGTTTCAATTGCAGTGAATTTCTGCCTGTGGCTAGAAAAAAGGCAGTGTTCTGTGTTTGTGTGTTTTATTAGGGCTGCTTTGTCACCTCTGTCCTAGTGTCCCTCAGGCCTCAGGCTCCATGAGGTCGGGCGCCTCTGTCTTGTTCCTGGGTGGGTCTCCAGAGCCTTGCTCAGCCAGCCGGGAACCATCGTGTGATGTGAAGGGATCTCCGATGTACGCACTGCCGTGGATGGGACAGGCGCCATCTGCTGACCTGGATCCCAGCGGCCCTTGGTGCCAGGCTGGACCCTGCGGACTGCTGTCCAAGGTCCTGACTCAAACACAAGGCCGTCCTGGGAACCCTGCCACCTGCCACATTCTCTTTCCTCAGACTCTCTGCACCTTCTGGAAATGGCCTCTAGAAGACGAGACCATCTCTCAAGGCCACGGTGGGGGTTGTCTTTCCTTTGCTCGGCTCAGCTTCAGCCTTTGAGACCTGACAGTGTGACGTGACCGAGCAGTGTCCATGGCAGGGCAGGTCAGGAAAGCAAGAGCGGGTTCCAGACAGAATAGGTGTCCATTGGCTGTCACCTCAACAAAAAGGAAAAAAAGTGGGTGCCAGTCAAAAACTAAAATCCACAAGTCCTGTCAAAGAATTTGTGATGGTTTCTTATAAGCCTTGCAGAAAAGTGATTCACTTACCAATTGACGCTGGGCCCGAGTCAGGTGCCTTGAGGACGAAAGCCGTCCAGCAGGTTGTGGATAAGAATTCATCCCATGGACGTGGCCGATGAACCTGGGTTTGCGCCTCACAAATGGCCTTATTGGAAACGGGAGCAATGCTTGCATGAGGCTGCTCAATAAACCATCGGCTGGAGGAGTGAAGTCTAGACCAACCCAGGACCAGCAGCAGGGCCTGAGTGCACGCTGGCCCAGCCACACCGTGGGGTTCCACGTGGCCACCGGTGATGGTGGGGACATCTGCACAAGCTACGATGGCCGGGCCTCCAGGCTAGCAGGTCAGGAAAGCAAGGCGGACAGGAGTGTCTGCAGGGTGAAGCCCTTGGCTGAAGAATCGGATGAGGAGAAATGTGCGGGCGCGCGGGCGCATGTGTGCGCGCGTGTGTGTGCACGTGTGCTTGTGTACATCTTTGCTTCTATTAATATTTTCAAACTGAAGTATAAACTATATAAAATTAAAAACTGTTCCTTTGGGGGAGCAGGAGAATGAGGGGAAGGGGCACAGTCTCCAGGTATGTCTTATTTTGTAGATGTGACTGGGAACCATGCAAACATTTCACAGTTATAAATTTTAATCGAGTACAAATGCAATATCTACACATCTAATGTTAAATGGAACAAATAAACCTGCTGTGAGTAAAACTGGGGGCATGACCTCAAAGAGAATGGTGTCAAGTGATTTGAAAGCAGTCTCTCGGCTATATATTCCAGTAGGATATGTCCTAAGGACAAAAGAACTGCTAAAAAAAAATCTTAGCTGATCACAAGTGTTGGCGAGGATGTGGAGAAACTGGGACCCTCGCACGTGACTGGTGTGAATGCAAACTGCAGCCTCTTTGGAAAACAGGTGACAGCGCCTTGAATAGCTAAACCATGTGACTCAGCAATTCCAGTCCTAGGCACACACCCAGAGGAAATGAAAATTGACCACACAAAAACATGTACACACTTTCATAGCAGCATTATTCTTAGTAGCCAAAAAGTGGAAACACATATACACACATATCACTGGTGAGTGGATAAACAGAATGCAGTCCATCCTTACGATGGAATATTATTCAGCCATAAAAAGGAAAACTGGTGTTTGCTACACCATGGAAGAGCCTGGAAAGTGTGATGCTCAGCAAAAGAAGCCAGACACAAAAGATCACATATTATGTGATTCTGTTTATATGAAATGTCCAGAATAGGCCAATCTATGGAGCCAGAAGGTAGACTGGTGGTTGCCAGGGGCTGGGGGGGGTGGTGACTGCAGACCCCACACAGAAAAGTCTGTTGCTGGGCACGTGGGCTGTGTGGCCCAGGCCGCAAAGCATCGGAGCTCTAAAGGGAGAAGGAGAGAGGCCCTGACACCCCCAGGGTCCTGGCCAGCTCCTCACACACACCGTTGGGAGGACAAGGCCAGACAGGAAAAGGCTACACAGCCCTGCGCCCAGAGACCCCCTTCTCCAGGCGGCCACATCGGTCAAGTGGGTGTCAGGTCTAGGCCACGGCGTTGAGCAAAGAGAAGCGGAGAGCATGCCCAGAGGCAGCCATGCCCCCTTGCCACTGCCCAGCTCACCACATGCCGATCACACCAGGACCAGGATGGGCCACGCTGGCAAAAGGGAGTGGGCTGAGGGCTTGGCACCGTGCCTATCTGCTAAAAAGTGCCTGTAACATCAGGGGCCCACTGGGGGACACTTCTCAGGTGGATGCGGTGGTGACCAGGCCCAGGGGGGCCTGATATAAGCTGCTTAACTTCCTGCAGTGTTGGTGCCCCAAGCCAGTCCTCCCAGCACACACAGACCACACCAGAGAGGCCTGTGGGAATCAGCCAACAGGACACGCCCCAAATGCAAAGTCAGAGAGGATAAATCCAGTGGTGCGAGAGGCTCTTACCTGGGGCCCAAGGGCTGCCCGGCGTCCTGCTGTCCGCCCTCAGGCTCCTGCTGACTTGCGCCATCGCCCCCACTGAGCAGCCTGTCTGCTGAGTCCCCCGGGGGCCCTGAGGTGTGTGCCAGGCACTTGCTGGAAGTAGGGACTTTGGGTTCCTGCCTGTCGGGGGCATCTTCTGAGGGTAGGGAGGCCAGGGTGCCCACGGGCAGTGCCTCCAGGGCAGGCTGGGCCTCCTCCAGGCTCTCCGCCTCGCCCTTGGCGCTGGCCTTGGCTGAGCCAACATAAGAGGCTCCGACAATGCCTCCAGGGCTGCATTTGTCCCGCAGGCTCTCACCTGTGTCCTCCCTGCTGCCCCCACAACTCCCACAGCACACGCAGGAGTTAATGAGGCAGTTGGTGGCCGCAGTGCTCAGTTTGTGGGAGTCACCGTCCATCCCCTCGGCCACGGGCTCCAGCGGGGGAATGCTGTTTCCGGGGGCTTCCAGGGCGGTGACGGCAGAGGCCAGGGAGGTGGGCGATTTGGGATTGAAGATGACCGTGGCTGAGAGCTTCATGCCCCCTGTCCGGTGGGCAATCATCTCGGCCGTCCCAGCATCGTCCACACTCACCTCCCAGCCGTCCAGGTGCGGCTGGGCGTCCAGGCAGCTGCAGGAGTTGGGGCCGGCCGGCCGCATCTTGTCGTCCTGGGTGTTGTTGTTATTACTCAGGTCCTCCTTCTCCCCTGACACGCGGACCCCCGCCTCCCCGCCCTGCCCTGTGTCCTGGGGGTCGGTGCTGGCAGTGCCCGTCCACCCAGATGGGCTGCCCGTGGCCTCCGCTGCCCCCTCCACGTCATCCATGAAGAATACTGTTCCGTCCTCCTCGTCACTGCCGGGCCGCAGCCGCCCGCTGCCCGGGGATGCCTCCACCCGGGGGCTGCCCTCGCTGCCCAGCCTGCGCGCCGGGGACTGGCAGGCGCTGGGCGGGGACAGCAGGGATGACATCTCGTCCCCAGCCCTGTGCACCATGCGGCTGAGCTGCTCCAGCTCCTGGTCGTCGTACTGCATGGAGCAGGCCAGCTCGGCCTCCGGGTTTGTGGCCTTGGCAGAGAGCAGCTCATCGGGAGGGAGGGGTGTGGGGAAGGTGGGGGCCAGGGCAGGGGGCCCCTGCACATCTGCTCGGATGGGGAACTCCACGTCTTGGGAAATGCAGAGGTTCCGTTCCAGCGTGTGGAGCTCCTCCTCGCTCAGGGTCTGCAGCAAGTCCCTACAAGGGGCAGGACAAACACAAGTCAAAGTCCCAACTGCCACACCAGTCCCGGCCGAGCAGACACAGCGCCCTGGATGTCTGCACGGCAGGGGTGCAGCAAGGCGTGGGGTGCCCGCGGTTTCACGCGCAGCACACTCCCCCCACCCCCAACCCCACTGCAAACTGAGCTGCAGTGCCAGCGGCTCTTTCATCCCTCGGGTCAGGACAGTGGCCACTTGGGATGCCTGACTGCGATTTCCCAAAAGGGAGGTCCTGAAACCTCTTGCTGCAAACAAGAAAGCGCTGATCCTCAAGGATGTGAGAACTGTGTTATGGAAAACATTTGTGAGTGAAAGAATATATGTTAGTTCACATAGAGACTTTCATCCTTTTGTTCAACGATTGCTACTGAACCTGCTCAGTGTGCCAGGCACTGGGCCACACGCGGGAACGACAGGCACAGTCCCCGCCCTGGGGGGGTTGGTTACACTGGAAGAGGCAGGTAATAAATATTTATACAAGTGATGATCGAATTACAGTAATGACAAATGCAACACAGGAAAATGCCCACCGGACAGAGGGTACGGCAAGGCACCTGGCTTAGTCTGGAGAGACTTCCTGGAGGAAGGGGCACTGACGCGGAGACCGGGGTGAGCCTGTGGCAGGTGCTGTCTGCTGGGAGAAGCTCAGGTCAGCTGGGGTCCGAGTCCCAGGCTAAACACCCCAGTGCAGTCACGGAATGGGCATACAGAAAAGTGCGCTTCTCAGAACTGCACAGCTTGTGACGCCCCCATAAACCCAACGCCAGGCTAGCAGCACCCGGATGGAGGCCACCACATGGCTTTCCAGGCCTTCCTGCCGGCAGCACCATCCTGACTTCAGAAGACGGGGCACTCTCGCCTGTTTCGTCTTTGGAGGTGGGAACTTGCGGCCAGCACTGTGTGGCAGGCTTTGTCAGTGTTGTATCTGTGTGGGGTCGCCAGAGGAAATATGGGCTGTTCAGTTCAACTCGAATTTCAGCTAAACAACAATACGTGGTGTAAGAGCATAAATAGTTCTTAGGGGAAGTATAGGCATTCCTCGTTTTACTGCGCTTCACAGATGGTGCATTTCTACAAAGTGAGGCAAGACCCTCCACTGCAAAAAGATCATGATTCGCTGTGTTTTGACATTGGCTTAATTGCAGTGGTCTGAAATCGAACCCATGCTAGCTCTGAGGTGTGCCTGTGTGTTCCAGATGGGGGGCATTTGGGACATACTTACACTAACTGTGTTCACTGTTTATCGGAAATTCTGCCAATTTTATTTGGCTAGATCTGATAACTGGGTTTGGTGATATTTGTTGGTGCTGTGGAGCGTTCATTGTCATGGCTGTAGTCTTTCCTGGGGGACACAGCACCATCCATCTATGAATCTGGTCTCACCTAGGGGCCCTGGCTGCCGTGGCCATGTCTGATACCTCTCCTGGGGAACACGTGTGCCTTTCCACGTGCACACGTAGGGAGGTGTTCGTGAGCAGTGCACACCGCTGGCCCCACCCGCCAGTTGCCAGCTGCTGGCCCCACTGCAAAGCACTTGGTAGTTATCATCAGGTCCTTTCTGGTGAGTGTGTAATGCTCTCTCTTGTGGTTTTAAATTGCTTCAGCCCAAGGACCTGTGAGGTTGCGCACCTGTCTGTATGCTGATCGGCCCATAGAATCCCATCCCATGCCTGTTCAAGACGTGCCCGTTTTTAACTCGGTTGTCTATCTTTTCCTCATGGAGAGGAGTCCTTCACATATGATGGATTTATTTGTTTGGATATATTCTCCAACTCTGTGACTTGAGTTTTCACTCTAATGATGTCTTTCTTCAGTGAAGTGCAACCTATTACATTTTTTCTTTATTAGTCTTCTGTGTCCAGTTGAAGAAATCTCTGCCTACTCCAAGAGGTTTTCCTGTTCTTGCTTTTCGCATTTGTATCTGCAACCTGTCTAGAACTGAGTTTTGTATGTGATTGTGGTACGGATCCAGACATATTTTTTCTCATATGGGTATTTATTGACTCAGCCCATTTATCGGGAAAAAACAGCCATTCCCCACTGTTCTGCAATGTCCCCTTTGTCATAAATCAGGAAGTGCATACGTGCTCGTCTGCTTCCAGACTCTATCTGCTCAGAGGTCAGAAGCCTATCCTTGCACAACGCCTCGTCAGCATTTCTACAGCTTCACTTCAGGCAGCGTCTCCAGCACCGTTCATTACCATGCAGTACGCCCAGCAGCTGTGCACACGTGCTCACCCGCATGGTCACACCAGCCTGGCCTATGGAAACCACCAAAGTCCATCAAGAGTAGGACAGAAAAGAGATATTCTTTGTTTTTTCTCCAGCAATCTCCTTCTTGGCTATTCTGGGCCCCCTGCATTTCTATATGAATTTTAGAATTCATTTGTGAATTTCAGCCAAAAAAAAATAAAGGCCTCCTTTTAACTTTGATCGAGATTGCAATGAATTCCTAGATTAATTTGAGAATAACTGTACCTCCTTGGAACTGTTTCCCCGAGTGTGCAACAGCTCCCTAGCTATGTGGGTGTTTAAAATTCCATGTCAGTAACATTTCATAACATTCAGAGGAGGTCTTCCATGTCTTCAGATTTTTGACTAAGTAGCCAATGTTTACTGACTCTCTTATAGATGATATTTAGAAAATTGCTTTTGTGCTAAAATACATGTAGTATAAAATTTACCATTTTAACTGTTTTTAAGAGACATTTCAGTGGTATTCAGTACATTCACAGTGTTGTGCTGCCGTCACCACCATCCACCCCCATAACTCATTCATCTTGTAAAACTGAAAGTCTGTCCCCATTAAACACTAACTCCCCATTCTCCCCCCCACCCCCCAGCCACCGGCAGCCACCATTCTACTTTCTGTGTCTATTGTTTTGGCTACTGTAGAGAACTCATGTAATTGGAATCACACATTGTTGTATTGTGACTGGCTTATTTCATATAGCATCGTGTCCTCAAGGCTC